TTTTTTTTTTTTTTTTTTTTTTTTTTCTGAAAAAGTGATTGTTAAAACAAGGAGATATTTTTCTACCTCATAAAAGTAAGGAAATATTTTTGGAGGAGTTATCTCTAGAGAATGAAATTTTTTTGAAAATTTGTAGTTTAGCACTTTCGGCCCGGTTGGACAACACTTTACTCTTGATTTTTTGTTGTCAAAGAATCTTATTTTTCCGTGATTCTCTAGATTTACTTTTTCCCCCACTTCATTGAGTTTTCCTTGATGTAATCTGTGCAGGGTGTTAATCATTTTAAGAAAATTCAGTATGCTGATGGAATCACATACGGGGAGCTGTTCTTGGAGAATGAGTAATGAATCACACTTATTTGAACTTCTTTCTTTCTTTGTTGTTCTATTAACAATAATCTTCTCTTAAACGAAGAGGCTTGAAGTGTATAGTTATTTCAATTTGTTACTCTTGTCATTTCAGGAAGGAAATGAGTGCATATTATTTAGAACATGCCAATGTTCACCAGATTCAGAAACATTTCAACATCTTTGAGGAGGAAGCTCATGCCTTGCTTGCTTTAGGATTACCTATCCCTGCGTATGTTTATTCCATTAGTTGTATACTGATACTCTATCTATGGGTTATTTTTTAAAATTAAAAAAATTATTATTATTTGTATAATTATTTTTTGACTAGTAAATGGCATACAACATAATAGGTATGATCAGGTATTGAAGGCATCTCATGCTTTCAACATACTGGACTCTAGAGGTTTCATTGGAGTAACTGAGCGTGCTCGTTATTTTGGTCGAATGCGAAGGTTAGAGCAACGTCTTTAATTTTTTCTCTTTCTTCATTTTCTTTCTTCCCATCTTGTTAATCAGCTTATTGAATTCTAACTTTAGGAGTCCCTTAGTTAACACATCGACAATTTGCTCCGTTGTTGGAATGTCAAGAATGCGTATTACTCCTGCATCAATCTTCTCTTATGAAGTGTTTATCAATCTCGATATTTTATGTTCTATGAATGAATTGTGAACAATGGAAATTGTTACGGGGGAGAATTTCAATTCTTCCAATAGTCTCTTTTTTTTCGTTTCAATTTTTTAATTTTTTTATCTCTATACCTTCATAAATTCACTTCAACTTTGGGAAGAAAAAAGAACAATAATGGAAGTGGAATTCTCTTATCTGGGGCTAACACCATAAACTCTGCTTCGTCGCTACTTTTGGCCACAACACTTTGTTTTTTTACTAGGTCAGACAACTAGATACCTTCGGACGAAAGAGTAGTAACCATAGGCTAATCTTCTGTTAGTGATGCTGTATGCCTAATCAGCATCAGTGTAAACTTTAACATGTAGGTGGCCTTTTGCTGTTCTTTAGGCATGCTGAGGGAGAGTCAGGGATTTTCTGGTTAAGTAAGAAGTTTTGGTTGGATTATTGAATGTATGGTTCTAAAACCTTATGGCTCTAGATCAGTAGTAATGGTTCTAGTAGCTACAACAAAATAGGCTAGTTTATTTTCTTGGAAATGATTCGTGGTGCTTGTTTAAATCGTTTGCCTGGGTGTAATGATCTGAACAAAGTTTTATATGCTGAGTATGTTCATGGAAAGAATCATCATTCTAATGTAATGAACTTTTTGCCTTATTCTTCACCTCGAGATCTTTCTCCTCAATTTCATTGGATAAAAAAGGAAGATTCTAGAGTTTAGGTAAGTGCAAAAGACGCAGTGTTTACAAATTTGAGCAACTTATATGTGGTTTCTGGTTTTTTGCTCATAAAAAATGGTTGAACATTAAGGATTCATTGGAAGAATATTTTTTAGGTCGCCTTTATGATTAATCCGTTTAGGGCTCTGATAATGCCTTGCTAAAAGTGGTAGAGCTTATAGACCATAAGTCTCTGGTGGAAAATGGAGATTCATTGGTAATTTACGTTTGAATATCAAGAAATGGTCAATGGAATTCCCTCTCACCCGGATTTGATTGAAGGTTATGGGGTCGGATTGCAATGAAGAACTTACCTCTTCCATGTTGAAAGTGTTGTAACTTTGAGGCAATTGGGAATTGTTTTGGGGGCCTTGTTACCATTTCTTCCCAAACTTTAAACTTCTTAGATTGTTCAGCAACATACATTGAAGTGGAAAAGAATTTGTGTGGCTTCTTACCAGCAACAATTTTGATTAAATCTCCAAAAAGAGGAGACTTCTTCCTTAGATTCGATTACATCACTCCTTTTGATCCTTCTTATATTATTAGCCGTGAGTTACACTTTTCAAACTCATTGGATTTGAATAAAATTTATCAGATTTTGAAAGATGAAGAGATCATTCCACCATCTAAGAAAGGCTCTTTATTTCCATATTTTTCGTATCCTTTGTTTTATTCTCGAAAAAAGGGTCTTCTCTTCGTTCCATCCATGCTTTGAGCAAAACTCTTTGAATTCAGCTTCAATTGAGCGTTCTCCCTCCTCTTTACCTATCTTACTCAAAAAAACAACCAAGTCTTCACTTCTTTGGATCGATATTTATGTTTAACAAGAGAAGTTACTTCACTTGACAAAAGACCTTACACCTCAGTTTGCATAGTGTGGAATCAGTCATTCATTGTGTGGATTTCAGTATGGAGGCAAATGTTCTTGAAGATTCTTTTTCTACAGCTTTTTACTTACTATTTCAAGATTGAGACGAGAAGCCTCCTATTTCTTCATCTCTATCGGCCAAATTTCCGTCGTTGATAAAAGCCTTTGGTTTTGAGTTTTGTAAAGTTTCTCTCTTGACTTAAGAAGGAAGCCGTATCATGGTTTAACTTAGCGAAGTTTTATTTTGTCTTATCTGAGGTAATTTGATTAACTTGTATTTTCTATTGCAATTTTTCTTTTCTTTAAATGCTTACTGTCTTTGGGAGTTCGCATCCCCTGAACTTGTATTCTTTTTCTTTGTATCAATAAAAAGTTGTTTCTTGTTAAATAAAATAAAATAGCAAGGCCTTATTCTTCTTCTGTTGAAAGAATGTTTCTGGCCAACAAATGAGACATTCAAAGATAGTTTCAAGACAATTTGGAGGAATCTATGGTGAGTCTTACTAGTGCGGATTTGATCAGAATTTTTCATTCTTCGTTGGACGAGATGTATCTCCCGAAGATGAAGATGATCCTACTTTTGCTAATTCTTCTCCAAATCTTCAAGCATCTATTTCAGAGGGCATTGAGAAAGTTATCTTCTTTTCTTAAAGTCTGTGGACTTGAAGTACATGAGATTCCTACAAGAGCCACTTGCATCTTGTTTTACAAGACTTCAAGGCTTTTCGGTTGCAGTTGGTTTTTTGTTATTTACTCCACTCCGGTTATGGTGCTCTTTTTGACTTTTTTGGTTCTAATCGGCTCCGGGATTTTCATTTGTGGTCAGTTGGTTTTAGTTTCCTATTTCAGTTTCCCTTTTATGGTCCCCTTTTCTAGTTGTTGGTTCTTTTTGGCATTTTTCTTTTTCTCCCTCTTAGGGAGGTTACATCCTTCTGGACGCTGCAGTCAAAAAGGTTGGAAAACTTTTCCCTTTCAGACTTGAAAGACAAGATAATTTTCCCTTCCGTTCCCACACACGACAAAACCCGTATCGAATTAGGGCGTTCCTCTTTGATAATGAGTAGATTACCTCATTCTCCGCTTTTTATTCAGCTTCTTGGTATTACTCCTTTTCTCAAGTTTTATTTTGAAAAGATGCTCTTTGAAATTCTTCTTTTCATTGTAAGTTTCTAATACTTTTCATTATACAGTTGTAATATTCATTAACAAGTAATTAGTTTTGATTTCTGTATGTACTGAAATTAATTTTTGTTCCATCAGTTTAGCTCGTCAGTGTGCGCAACTGTGGTTGAAAACCCGAGAATCACTAGGACATCCACTTGGTGTTGTTTCTGATTCTGTTGATCTTGTATGTCCGAAAGAACTTCTGGAAGCTGCAGTCAAAAAGGTTAATATTCATATGCTGGTGATTTAGTTTGTTATCATTATTGTTGATAGTCCCACTACATATTTCCAAATTTTATCCCGTTGGTTTTTCTTTATTATTTTTACTATTTCCTTGAATGTGTATGAGGTTTGTTCCCCCAAGTTAGGATGAGATTTGTTTTATATTAAGTCTTTTTTTCCCTTTTAATTGTAGTATTTGTTTTTGTTTTTGTTTTTTTTTACATATTTTTTCATTTATAAATGAGTTATAGAAAAGTTCATATAAGCTTTTGAGAGGAAGAGGCAAGAGGTGCTCCAAAACAGTTTCAGCAGAGTTATCTATTTCAATTTGGCCACTCTTATCAAAATAAGCTGCTCAAATTTTCATGTATTTTGTTTTGATTATGTGTTTTACAATTTCTAAAATACAAGTCATTATTACCTGTACATTTAACTTTTTCTCAAGATTTCATCTTTTATATGTGACAGGTGCATGAAGATGCGCGGTGGTTTGTTCTTGAAATTGGAACTGAAGAGATACCACCTAAAGATGTTGTGGATGCAAGCCAACAAGTATGAAATAATTTGTTATTTGTTTTTATTTTTGGAACATGAAAAGATACAAAGGCAAGAGAGAAAAGGATCTTAGCAGATTATAGAACTCCTGTAGCCACTGATGATTACACAAAACCTTTCCCATTGGTAGAATAATCACACAAACTAGGGAAGAGTGCACCAAAAGGATCCTAACCAAGTCTTCCAATGGCTACAAATATCTTGCAAAGAATAACCCTCGAAAGCTTTTGAAAAGGAGCACCAATAGGAACCTTGATCTTGATAAGTTTAAATTTCTCCGACCATGAATAAAAATTTGTCCTAAATAATATTTGGTTATGCTCTAACCAAATGTGTGAGAGAATAGATTTAGAAGCATTCATACAAATAAGCTTAGCGTTAACTGGAAGAAGCAGAATACAAAGAATTTGACAAGCATTGCCACAAGTTCTTCACCAGAATCTCAGCTTATGTTGAAATAGAGAACAAAGAGAACTAGCATAAACTTGAGGAAGAACACCGTATGAATATATGAACTTGGTCTTCAAGAGCTGCAAAACTCAAATGGAAAAAGGATAGAGATAGAGCCATAAAATAAAGCTTCTTCTAAAGAGTATATGCAATATTAACTCCATCATAATACCAGAATCCATATGAAGAAATTTGTCTTAGTTTTCCAAAGATCTTTAAAGAAGAAAGAGAAGGGGAAGGGGAAAGAGGATCCCCAGCCTTAGACCAGGAGAAGCTAAGATTCTTCCTCTTGATTGACCATAATGATGTTAAACTTTATGAACAACTTATGCCAGCAGCAAAGACAGGCCCTTCAACTGAAGAAGGGTTGAATTGCAGTTTGTGAATAACTTTGGCATGTAATACACCTACACAAGATCGTATGCAGAAGCTTTGCACGAGATAGTTTAAGAAAGGAAAATTCTTTGCTTGGAAAGTTTTGCATGGGAGAGTGAATACTCAAGATCATATCCAGAGGCTTTCCTCCATTGTGATATGACCTCAATTGTGCGTTCTTTGTAAGAAATAGGAGGAGGATCTGAACCACTTGCTTTGAAGTTGTTATTTCACTAGTACTCTATGGAACCGGTTCCTTAAGACTTTCAGGCTTGCATCGGTTCATAATAGCAGTTGTTGTTCAATGTTTGAGGAGGTGCTCTTACACCTCCTTTTCTAGTAAAGGAAGGTTTTTTTTTTTTTTTTTTTTTT